AAAGAGTGTACAATGGAAAAATATCAAAGGTATTTGCATGGATTATGCAACCAAAACATTTCCCATTCTGACACTGATTCCAATGTGTGTTTTTTCAACACACCACCAAGAAATTAACTCAATTCTCTGTGGATACTGACCCAATGTCCCATAAATTTAACTCAATTCTGACACTATCTACCTAGAGATAATGTCAGATTCCACAAGTTAAGGGCTTAGTCCCACAAGACTACACCCCCGCTTCAGATACCAATTGCAAGTCAAGGTTGTCACCTGTGCTTCTGACTCACCAGATACAAATCAGAGGTTTCCACAATCACCTCCTCAGGTTTGATTCATTTACTAGTGCAGCTCACAGAACTCAGGAAATTAGTTTACCTACTGGACTGCCAAATTGATTTCAAAGGATACTACTCAACAGCCAGATGAAGATACCTAGATCGAGGTCCTCAAGGTAGGAATTTCTGCCCCTTGGAATTTGGGGCCCAGCACATGGATGTGTTCTGTTTGGTTCACCAACCTGGAAGCTCTCTGAAAGCTCATCCTTTTGGGGTTTTATGGAGGCTTCTTTCCACAGGCATAATTGATTAAATCATTGGCCATGGGTGGATGAATTCAATCTGCAGCCCCTCTCCCCACCCCAGAGGTCAGAGGGTGGGGCTGAAAGTTCCAACCCTCTAATCAAGGCTGGTTCCCCTGGCAACCAGCCTATGTCCTTTGGTTACCTAGGAGCTTTCCAAAAGTCACCTCATTAACATAAGATACCTTGATCAACTGATAGCTTCATTTAAGAAATTCCGAGGGTTTTAGGAGTTCTTGCCAGAAACAGGAAGGAAGGCAAAACATATATTTCTAATAATAAATCACAGTAACACAACATTTAAAAACCATTAACAACAGGCAGACGTTTTAAATACAGACAGATTTGAGAAGTAATGAGAGACACTAATAGAAAGTCTCAGCGTAGATGAGAGTACAACCTAAGAGAAGAGTAGGAAAGGAGAATGAGCACCAAATGCTTGTCCATGAATATATGAATGCACCATAGCAAAGATGCTGCAGAAACGTGACTGAGATGATGGAGAATAGGAATGTGGACAACTCCAACTAAAATCAAGTATTCCTTTAGTCTTGTTTAAAAAGGGAGTAGAGGGGCTTCCCTGGTGGCTCAGTGGTTGAGAGTCGTCCTGCTGATGCAGGGGACGCGGGTTCGTGCCCCGGTCTGGGAAGATCCCACATGCCGTGGAGCGGCTGGGCCCGTGAGCCATGGCCGCTGAGCCTGCGCACCCGGAGCCTGTGCTCTGCAATGGGAGAGGCCACAACAGTGAGAGGCCCCCATACCGCAAAAAAAAAAAAAGGGAGTAGAAAAGGAAATACAGATAAGAGATTCTATGAATGGTAAATCCTAGAAATGTGTAAAAGAATTAGAAAAATAAGTTGCCCAAAGCAGAGAGAGAAGAAGAGGAAGAGGAAGAAGAAGGGCGGGAGGAAGGAGAGGAGGGAAAGGAAGAGGAGAAGAGGGAGAAGGGAGAGGGGAGCCAGGGAGGGCAAAGGTAGGGACAGCTCCCGGCTGGGGACTGGCACAGGCCTCACGGAGTCTATTCCCGCCACAGAAACACCAGTCATCACCCAGTCCCCTCCCTGCCTGCCCCCCTCCTCCCCACTTTCCTCCTTCCCGTGAGCCGGGCTTTGGGGCGCAGATCTGGAGCTGCTGGGGGGTGCTGTCGGCATGGGTGGGCCCGCCCCCTCACCTGCTTTCACCGAGCAGTGGATGTGCGCTTTGGACTCGTAGTAGACCCAGTCGAAGCCGGCCTCCACGGCCAGGCGTGCCAGCATGCCGTACTTGCTGCGGTCGCGGTCCGAGGTGGTGATGTCCACTGCACGGCCCTCGTAGTGCAGCGACTCCTCTGAGTGGTGGCCGTCCTCGTCCCAGCCCTCTGTCACCCGCAGCTTCACTCCTGGCCACTGGTTCATCACGGAGATGGCTAAGGCGTTTAACTTGTCCTTGCACCGCTGTGGAGAGAAGGGGGCACCCAGCGCCCGTGAGCGTCCGGGCCTGCTCCAACCCTACCCCTGGGCTGCTCTGCCCAGCCCCCCAGGATGCGGGCTGTGCGCAGAAATAGGGAGACAAGGCCAGGCCTGGAACGGGCCGGCCTGTTCCGGAGAGGGGGGACCTCGGCTAGGGAGGAGGGGGTGGCATCGTAGGAGGAGGCACGTCCTCTCGGAGGCGACTTGAGCGCCTTTCTCCACACCTGAAATAGCAGAGCCCCCGTCACGGCCTGAGAGGCAGATGAAATGTCTGTCTTCGAAATAAGTAAACCGCGTGGTTTTGGACAGTGGCTGCAGAAGCCTCCAGGAGCACCCTAGGCTATGGCCCGCGTCCTCCTCCACGATGCCCTCCGCGCCCCTGCCCTGTTCTGTGGCCCCATCGCTCCGCACCTGTGCAAGGCTCCACCCAACTCCCTGGACAAACTCCCTCTCAGGAGGCGGGAGAGAGGCCCCGGGTGCAACTTAGCCGTAGAAAGAAAAATACACGGTATACTCCTTACAGAGTTAAAAGCCTTGCCTTATCTCTGCCCTGTGCCTATCTGAGGTGAGAATGAAGCCAAAGGTAGAGAGGGTGGTGGGACCCTGATAGCAGCTGAAGGGGTGGGGGAACCAGAAGTGAAAGGCAACCAGGTGAGTTATAATTTTCAATAAGACCAGAGCCGGATGACAAACATTCTTTATCTGGACAGCCACATTCCTTTTCCCCGTGGGACTCTTTTCTCCCGGCTTTTCTGTGGTCTGATTGTGTCTCTTGTTTTCCTTAACCTGTTCCCTCCCCCCCTCTTGTTTTCTTGGCCGGCGCAGAATGGTGTCCTGCAAGTTTGAAGAGCCAACTTAAGAGGTGGAGGGGGGGAGGGGAGGGGAGGGGGAGGAGCAATACCGAGTTTCTCTTAATGAGGGAAAATACAAAATACCTCTGATAATTTCAAAATAAAACTAGAGACAGCCTAAAGTGCTAATACCAGCGAGGGGGTTCTTCAGAGAAAGGAGCTATGTGAATCAGAAAGCTGGGCTCCACGTTTTTCTTCAAGATACCTGACAAAACCCTGGTGAATTCAATTCCCTTCCCTTCCTTGCTTTTCTTGGCTCATTACTAAGGTGGAGCAGCCAGATCCCGTCACAACGCCCAGGCAATAAAGGGTTGGTTGGGGAGACACACCTGCTACTCTCTCTTTTATAGCTGGGAGCACACAGTGCTGTTTAGGATTTACACCAGGTCTGAAAATGCCCCCAAAGCAGACCCCGTCTGTAAGGTAACTAGCAGAGACAGTCCAGACTCAGCTACAGATCCCTCCCGGACCCTATTCCATGCAGCTGTCTTTATGGACTATAGGATGGTAACTGAGGTTAATTACCGCTGAAAGATATACACCATACGATTTTTATGTCCGTTTAGTGAGATAGTTCCAGCATAGAGAGATTTTCCCAGGGGCACCACAGTGATTTGGTCTCCAGGTTTCTGTGCTCCTTACATTTACAGGTTATGCACAAGCTAATGGGGCTAATTATCAGTGCTCAAACCGAAGCCCCTTTACCATTTCCCCCTGCCTCCTGCCTAAACGTCAAACCCATTGTCTTCTTGGGCTTCAGTTTTTCCGCATTTTGTAGTCTTCATCGTTTAACTGCAGTTGAAAAGGGGGGAAAAAAAGTTACCACAACTGGAGGTTGGCAGCCTTGACTGTTGCTCTCTGCTCCAGAGAGATTTTGTTTTTCAAATCATGGAATAAAATGATTTAAGAAAAAGAATCCTCAGCGCTCAGGCTCTGCCTTCAAGCTTCAAAGCCTTTCACAAGCTGCAATTCATTAAACGCAATAAGCCAGCGGACCGACCTCTGCAGGGAGAGGGGCCAAGGCCTCCCACCCCACCCTCCTTCTCTTTGTGTTCCCGACCACGGCAGGCAGGAGGGGGCAGGATAATGGTGCTCCCATCGGGCTGCCGCCCATGGCCCTCCGCCCAGGCCTGCCCTTCCTCTCCTCCCTGCCAGGGCTCCACGCTCCACTTGGCCATTGGGTACAGGAGCTTCTCTCCTCCAGGCTGCTTTTGTCTGTCTTTCACAAAACAGTCTGCCCACATTTTTACTTCCTTTATATAAATGAAGAATTTCCTAGCCACGGGGCCCAACCAAGCCTGACATCAGTCCCGTGGGACAGATTCTTCCCTGCTTGACCACTCAAGGGCCAACAGCCAAGCGGTATCACACCCCTCCGTCACCATGAGACAGGGGCCAGTGTGTCCCTCACAGCAGGCAGGGTCCATTAGCCCCACATGAGCCCTTGGCATCCCCGCCAGATTCAGTTGCTCCTGGGCACTTCCCCATCCTCTGCTGCTGAAGGGTTGCCTCTCCAGAGAGCATGCAGGCATGATGGATAGTGAGTCTTTGGTATCAGGGTCACTGAGAGGAGGAGTATGTGGTCTACTGAGCTCCCCTGAGTCATTCCACAGTTTGCAAGTCCCAGTTTGTTTGCTTTCTGTTCTTACACATGGACCCTACCCAGACCCTTTCTTAGAGAGAGGGAAAAAAATAATAAAGCACCCACAAGGCCCAGCCATGGCATATTAAATTTCATAAGGCAATGCCAAATTAATTTTTATGGTTCTTCTTTCTTTCCAGTTCCTTCCCGCTCCTCAACTCTGCCTACTAGTTTAAGAAAAAAACAGCCTAGTATCCCCTTAAAGTACTGCATTCATAATTCTAGTGTTCGAAGGCAGATCTGGTCTACTTTTAACTGCGGAGCGTTTCCCAGTAGTACTGAAAACACTCCTGAGTTTCATCCACAGATCAACCTTAGAAGCAAAAACTTGTGCCAGGATCTTCATGGGCCAGAGTTCATGTGGGGAAAAGATGAGTAACCACACCCCAAGCCGGGCCTGCCCCATCCTGTGTCTTCTTCACAATAATGCACCCAACCTCTCTGCCTTTTCTCCAGGTCTGCCCCCAGGGCACGGGTTTTCTCCAGTGTTCCCTCCTCCTGACAAGAGGTCCATATCCAGCCCCACACTGAAGGCCCAACACCTCTCCCAGCACCTTCACCAAGAAATGCAGCACAAATGGACCTCCCTTTTCTCCAAAGTCTTAAAAATGTTTGTACTCATCAATGTTCAAAATCATAATTTTGGACCTGGAACGAGCCTAGATTCCCACCCTCTTCATTTCCAGAAGAGAAAAACTGAGTCATTGAGAGCTTCAGTGATTTCCCCTGTTTCACACAGTTGGTTTGTTAGAAGGGCGAGACAAGAATCTGAGTCTCCTGGCAATGACCTGCCCAACTTCCCCCTACAGAGGTTGCCAGAAACAGGGATACCTGCAGATCCCCAAGGACATCGGGCATTGGGCAGGGCACACTTAGTCTCCATAAAAAGCAATCAAGGCAAAAGGGCTACTGCTTTTGGCAGAATTCATTTCATTCCTTGGTCAGGCCACAGGCTGGGCCGCCTCTGGATGGAGAGTACTCAGATGTGGTCACTAACATATTCAAAGTTGAAAACTATCACTTTATTATGATGTTAATTGGCGCCAACCTGACCATGAAGGCAACCTGTATGACAGGACTCGGTTACAAGGAGGAGGTCCAGATGACTCAAAAGATATGTATGTTAAACTAGTCTTTTCCTTTTAAAATAATTTCAAATTTACAGAAAACCTTCAAGAGTGTGAAGAACTTTTTTCTAAACCTTTTGAGAGTAAATTACTGACAAGATGTGCCATGACCCCCCCCCAAAATACCTGAGTGTATAATTCCTACTAAAAGGATATTTTCCTCCATAACCACATTACAAACATCAAAATCCAGACACTCACACTGATACATTATTAGTCTCTAATTCACACACCCCATTCAAGTTTTGCCAATTGTCCAAACAATGTTTTTTACGATAAAAAGCACCCAATAGGGCTTCCCTGGTGGCACAGTGGTTGAGAGTCTGCCTGCCGATGCAGGGGACACGGG